TTTCAATAATATAATAAAATAAAAATTGCAATTTTATTTAATATATTATAAATATAAATTCGGTAAATACCGATATCAATCGGTACAGTACCGAAACCGATCGGTACAGTATTGAAATTTTCGGTTCGGTATTTTTACATAAAAATTAGTACCGAAACCGAAACCGATCGGAACCCTAGTTCTCGCCTTTAATTTAGAGACCCATCTTTAGCTATAGATTTATAAATTTTGTACTGCAAGTCTAAAAATATAAATAAAAATAAAGTATAAGAATCACCTATTCTTTCAAACAATAAATAAATTATATATTGATTAAAAAAATTTTTTTTTATATAATATACAAATATAATATTATTTAATAATATATATATATATATTTTAGTGTATTAGTGATAATTGTCTGCCTGGATTAGGGCTCCCAAAAAGTACCAAACTGATATCGAACTGGTATCGAAATGGTACCAATCTATAGTAAATTTAATATATAGGTTGTGATCTACTCATATATTTTTATAGTAAATTTAAGTATTGAAGTGGTACCGTTAGGAGCCCTAGCTTGGATATTTATTCCTAATAATAATATTTACATATATCTAAAACAATACTATTTAAGACTATGCTATAACATATTAGTTGTCAATATATATGTTGCTGAAATTCATAGATCCTTGACGCAATTGACACAATTATTTGATGCAATTAATTGAGTTACTATTAAAACATATAAATAATTGAATCATGACACAATTAATTTTAAGGATTTTGGGAATTGAGTCAACAGCAAAATAATTTATGTCACATGTATAGTTGTCAATAATATTCAATACTTATCAATAGGGCTCCAAAAAGTACCGAACTGATATTGAAATGGTATTGAAATGATACCAATCTATAGTAAATTTAATATATGGGTTGTGATCTACTCATATGATTTTATAGTAAATTTGAGTATCGAACTGGTATCAAAGTAATATCGAAGTGATATTGTTAGAAGCCTTATTTATTAAGATTGTTTCAAATAATAATATTTGCTGTAGCTTGTTCCTAACTATATTAGATATAAGGACTAATTTACTAAATGATGGTATTTCTTTATTTAACCAGTAACATGTATTTTCACTAGTAGTTAAGCTTTATTTCTAATTGGAAAAAAATTAAGGGTAGTTGAAAGGGGCATTAAAGGTAATACCTATGACAAATAAAGCTATATAATTCCTATTTGCTTTATCAAAGATAAATCTCTTTACCATTACCAGTAGCTAGACTAACTATTTAATTTCTTACCTGTTCAATTGATACCCAAGAATACAGTATTTAAGATACTTATAACATGGGCTTACTGCTTGAACATTGACTTACATAACTTTGTAGGGAACAGGACTTATAATCAGATGTCTTTTGGAATAATACTAGTTGAAATCTGATTATTCAGTAGTATGTCACTTATTAATTATTTGGTATATGATAAATAATTCATCAAACATTCATCAATAATTCAGCAATCATTGCTAAATTGAATATACCAAATTATTGCTAAATATTTGACAAATGCTTGATGAATTATTTATCATATATTAAATAATTAATAAGTGATATACTGCTAAATAATTGGATTTTAACTAGTATAAATATTATCAAACTGGTTCCTTATTGAATTGGGATGAGACTAGAGTAGGGATTTGTATAAAAGATGTCAGATATTAGAGAAGTAATCATCAAATCTACTTATCAAAAGCAGATACCTCATATATCTTGCAACTTCTAACAATTATTGTAATACCAACTAGACAATTGTCATATCACAATATCTTTTTTGGAAATCATAATCTCAATGTTTACTGGATTAGCATGTGAAATGGCTTCTTATAAGAAACAGCACTTTTACAGGTTATGGTACCAGATACTTTATTAATTCTATTCAATTACCCTTATATAAGGTTAAACTGGTATCTTGTAATTTGACTTGTGAAGTGTTAACTATTACATTATGGATCTATAAATTATTATTATTTAATAATATTAATTTAAATTTATTATTTTTTATTATATTATTAAAATTTATTTATTTTTTTTTATTTATTTTTTTTTTTTAAAGAGTCAAGTATTATTATTATATAAATAGTTTATTTAACCAATATTATCTATATCTCTTTTCTTTTAAACTGGTTTCTTTTCTTTTCAAAATTAAAAAAAGTCTTATTTTAATTCAGTAACAAGTTTTTTTTATTGATAATTATTTCGAAAAGCATTAAACATTTAATATTATAAGATTTTATAAGCAATAATTCCTATTGTAAGTCTTATTATAAGTATTTTGAATATTCTTAATTAACAATAAAATAATAGAAATTAAATATTTTATTATCTATAGATGGTGGTAAAGGATTTATTCTGATAAACTGAAATTGATATTGAAGAGTTATTATTTATCAAAATAAATTTTTTAATTAGATTTTTTTTATTATTATTTTCTTAAAAAAATAAAAATTCTTATTTCTATAAAATTACAGTGGTTATATAAAAATGACAGTCCTAAATAAGAACTGATTGTGATGTTCTAAACTAATAAAAAATATCAAAATAGAATTGAGCAATATTTTCATTTCCCATAATCACATCTAGAGGCCTTAAGCTTATAACAGATATGGTTCCAAAAATTGAAATTAAACAGACTCATATAGACTCACATAAGGTTCAAAACCCTATTAAAAATGATAATGAATTATAATCCACATATTAAATTTAATATAAACTTGAGAATCAAGAATCAAATCAAATCAAATTGTTAGAATACTTAATGACAGGTGTACTGCATAGCTTCAATAAGTTTAGCCTTGTATAGTATTCTTTAATACACATGTATAAGCATTTTTTGTATAGAATTAATAAACATAATAAACATGCAACCTGATTTGAAGTTAAAAAAAAAAAAAAATAATAATAATATAAAGATTAATATTTTCAAATTTTATTAATAGTATATTATTTATATATAACCAAATGCATGCAATTTTTGTAACATTTATTGTAATTGAACTTGCAAATTTTGTGAAAAATGAAAAAAAAACTATTATTATGTCTAATGTAATTAATGTACATACTAAATTAACCAATCTTAGTTACATATTCTAATCACTAACTACAATATTATTAAATTAAATATCTTATGTTCCTTTAGAGAAAAAAGAAATCATGTGAATGGCAAAATTTAGTATCTAAATGTTCTTTATGATGATAGATCGATAACCGGATCATATAAGATATTTAACTAATTACACAATCGTCACGTTTTGGTTTCTTTTCATTGGTTATAGTACCTTTCAGTCGTTGCAGAGCTCGTTTATCACCATGTTCGGCAGCACGTTGATACCACACATCTGCTTCCGTTTGATTGGCCTTAACACCAATACCAACTTCAGTGAAATACCCCACGGCGTATTCGGCTTTTGGTAAACCTTCATCTGCTGCGCGTTTTGCCCAAAGATAAGCTTCAGTATCGCTTTGAGGTAATATTCCAGGACTACCAACTAAATACCAAGCTGTTAATGCAAAACAGGCTTCTCTATGACCTTGTTGAGCAGCAATTGTATAGTAGTGAATTGAAAGCGCAGCATCTTGTGGACAACCCATTTTTCCATACTCATAGTATTCACCCAATTTAAAAGCAGATGGGGCATAGTTTAGGTTGGCAGCATCTATAAGCAATCGAACGGAATACTCTATATCAACATATAAGTAATTTTCGACGCCTTGTTCATGAAGTTCCGATAATTCGTGCAAGGCATGTGGAAATTCTTCATTTGCAGATTCAGCAGCTCTTTTAAGCCATTTAACACCATCACGAGGATTCTTCGATAAACCACATTCGCCTTTCAACTCTGCAATACCTAATCGATACATCGCACCAGGATGACCCGACGATGCCGATTTTCTATTGGAGAAAGATCAAAAACGAAACAAAAGTAGTCTAAATGAGTACCATACTTTAAATTATATGTTCTATTTGCTATGATAATAAAAGTTCATACTTGTAAAATTGTAAGGCCTTGGCATAATCTTTTCGACAACCCCAACCATGCTCATAGCATACAGATGCACGGTAAGCGGCATCAGCGTGACCATGTTTACTTGCTTGGACGAATAATTGAAAGGCTTTATCGAAATCCGGTTTATTTTTTGATGTACCGATAGCATTAGCATAACAGTCGGCAAGAAAGTATTGTGAATTTGCATGACCTCTATCAGCGAGCTTTTTTAGCAAAGCGAAGCCTTCTTTAACGAGTTCGTCCCTTTTTTTACCATCCTCTTCGTTCATCGCCCTTGAAGCTTCCACCATAAAAGCAGCAAATTCAAACTGAAGATCTGGGTCGTTTGTTTTTTTGGCATTTTGACGATATAATTCTAGTGTTTGCGAATGTGAAAGTAAAGACGCTTTGTGACCGGGTTTAAGATGGGAGTGATCTAGTAGGGGACTCTCGGGTGGCATAATGAAGGAACTTGGCCTGGGAGAACCTTCTGGAGGTACAAGAGACATTTTAAAAACCGTTTATTACAAAAAAGCTAGTATGAAGTGTCAAAAGAACAACTATGATATTTATGAATCAAACAATAAAAAATTGATATTGCACTTGCAGTGCTTATTTTGACATTGGAATTTAAAATTACTGTCATCGCCATCTTCGACATAATATTGTACAACGTAGCACACATGAAATTATTTTATATTTTGAGGACGTTCAGGAATTATCAAGGACCCGAATAAAGAATTTTAAATGCGCCGTGAAATGGGAGTGAATGATAATTGAACCAACGACAAGAAAGGGTCTACATTTAACAAATTTTGAAGTTAAGTTTAAAATCCTACCTTCAGTCGTGCAGGAAAATATTAATAATAGAGATATTAATTTTTTGTAAAAATGGACGGACATTTATATGCCTTTCGAGTTATGAAAGAATATTTCGTCATGTACAATTGACAAACTATTTTTGGAGGCTGTACGATTAAGAGTTAATTAGCCAAAATTCACGTCTAATTTACGATCTAGGCGTAAAATGATATCACTTTTTCGGTTCACTGGGCGAACTAATCCAAGTATCTACTGTATGGCGCCGATTAAAGGATAATAATCTTTCCATTTTCAAAGTACAGTATATTAAAATATAATAATTTATTATAAATATTAAAATCTTTATTATTCAAATTGTTATTGTAAATATATAAATTATTGCATACTTATTTTAATTTTGTTTAAATCAATACAAATACACCCTTGAAATTGAATCCAATATGAATAAATAAAGTTAGTCTTTACTATGCATATCGTATCCCATATAGATTCAAGTCCCAAAGTCAGGCCAAAGCCTGACCCTTTGTCAAATATTTGAGCAAGATATTTCTGGCACCATTCGTGTCCCTATCCATCTCCACTTTGCATGAATCACATTTGAACATTTTTAATCCTCCAAGATCATTCTTCACGAATCCACAACACCCGCATGTCTTGGATGTGTATTCCTCGGTGCACTCGATGATCTTGCGAATGCAGAACTCCCTTGCCTTATGTTGTAAGAACATCCGGAACCTGAAATGCGATCAAGTCAGCATTGCGTGAGCAGTCTTTGACCAAATCTTTCTTTTATTCTTTAAAACTATTCTCGAAGATTCAAATTTAGGTAACAAGATGATCTCGTAATTCGTGCACAACCATTTCGCGAGCTGGTGATGGCACTCATCTATTAAATAATGGATTCGTTGTATAATTCGCAACATTTTTTTTTTTAATCTAAATCTTTTTCTCTTGTTTGTTCACCCTAACGCAAGATCCTTGTCACTCTGTAATTTGTCATATTTCTTGAATAGTTGGAATATTTTGTTGAGATCACCATTATCCCACTCGATTAATTGACCATCAGGATCGTAACCAGTCATAAACGTGCGAACACCTGGATCGAGCGAGATTACCTTTTTCCGAACATCATCTTGATTATCGATAATGTCTAGAGGAACGGAAACACACAAGTAAAAATGTCCTAGGTGATTCATAG